TAATTATCTGGTTTTGGACCCATTTTACTTTACATACTAGCATATCATAGAATCACAGCCTGGTATAATAATTCAGGTTAGAAGGGTCAGGTGTTTCCAGTCCAGTGTCCTGTTCAAATCAAGTCACACCAGGCTGGCTGCTCAGGACTTTATCCAGTTGAGCCTTGGAAACCTACTGGGATTGAGTCTACAGTAAATATCTGTGATGGACTTCAGTCTTGGTGAGGGAAAGCATAGCAACAGTTTTCATTATTAAGGGATCATTATATTTGTAATTACAGAAAAGTATAAAAACAGCAAAGACACTTATATGCATATTACTCTTATATAGTGTGTTGCTATATTGTATTACTTTATCTCAGATCAGTTCCAGAGAATTTACTTAGCATGTTAACAGCAGAGACAGACTGTTGAACAACTATGGGATTGCTTCACTTCATGCAGACATCTCTTCTTCTGTGTCATGAGGGCTGGCTGAAGGTAGAAGCTTCTCTTTCTGTTGCCAGATGCAGCACAGCTGGTTGCAGACAGGCTGCTACCTCACAGATTCCTTGAGTGCCAGCACTGACTGCAGACAGGAGCCCAGTTGTCAAAGCAGTCATCCCGAGTGGGAAAGCTGGTCTCTAGTTTCTGTCTGTCTGAACTGGCTTCCCCAGAAGATGATGGAACTCAAGATTCCTGATGAACTGGTGCTCAGAGCTGTCCCAAGAGGGGGAGCTCTGGTTTTAACCCACCTGTGTAAAAGGTCTGAATTATCGGTGTTTGGATGAAATGGCAGCTCTTCTTGTGTGATGCTGATGTGGCAAGCATGCTTTGAATGAGCAGAGATGTGTTTACCATTTCTGAGTGATGTGAAGACTGGTTGTGAATGTGCACAGCAGCAGCAATTTGCCTGCTCAGCTCTGTATGGATGCTAACCCAGTGCCCAGGGCACTGCACTTACTGCCCAGGTCAGACAGTAGAGAACTGAGAATTTAAAGATCCATGTTTGAGATGTTGTTTTAAACACTTTATCCTTCAAGTAAGCGATTGAGTCTCATGCAGACAGAGTTCCTGTGCATTTCTCAACAGACCCTTCAAGTTGCTGCAGAACTTCATGTTCCCATCTCTCCCTACTTGAGTTTGTAATTTGATTCAAATGCTGAGCTGCCATCCTCAGCTGGTTTCCACTGTCTGAAATCTGTGGCACATTCCCTTTAGTGAGGCTCAGACAAAAGAATTTGCCTGGTTTAATCTAGTTTCAGGATTGAGTCTGATAAGAACAGCCACAACCATTATTCAAGATATAGAAGACTAAAACCAAACAAACAAACAATGAAGAGACAGTCACTTTTCTCGCTAATAATTCCAAACTGATGCTTGATTTTACATCTGCCAGGCTGGGGGTGTGTGATGATAGCTTTTCTATATTTAACAATATTTTTGTAGCTCTTGTAAAGAGTTACCATTCCAGAGGGATAGTTAAAAGTCAGAGAATTGTTTAATTTTGTGCTGAGGATGTTGATATTGTGATGCTGTCTCTGTAGCCCTTCCAGCTTGGTGGCATTTCATCACCGTTTCAGAAGATGTGTTATCAGAAAGGCAGAATTCAGGAATACACCAAGTGCTCATTTAGGGTCTCATCTGGCATTACTGCAGGGCTGATTTGCTGGGGTGCACTGCCACAGCAGGATCAGCATCTGCTCACCTAAACTCTATGGTATCCTCAGCCCTTGAGACTTTGATCTCCCTTGAGTCCAGGTGATGCCCTGATGTGTCCAGCACAAAGCTATGCTGCTTATTCATTTTCAGTACAATGATTTGGTCGTGCAGCTTAGCTTTCCATTCCCTTTCAGCCTGCTTTACCTTGTCCTTCCCCACAGTGAAGTCTTTCTGTTGTCCAGTTATTACAGTATGTGTGTGTTGAGATCCTCTAAGTGGTGGCTGTTTGGACCAGGTCAACCCTTGAGCCAGGCGTTGAACAAAGCGAGGACAACACCCCCCACCCCGCCCTCAGGTCAGTTACTCACAGTCCCATGGGCTGCTGGCTTCTGTATTCTGTTGATCATTGGAAATTCTCCAGCAATTATAGGGCAAGACCTTAATAGCTTGATGGGGGGGAGCTCAGAATGGGGGAATCCAACCTCTGGGGTAGTTTCTCTCACCTCCATCAGGCCATCGATGCATTGAGCTGCCACATGAGACAGGACACCCGCGTCTTTCCTTTTTCTTTCACTTCCTTGTTGCTGCTTTTTAGTTAAGAATGTAGTTTATTTGATAACTAACCTCTTTTATTTGCCAGTTTGGGACTTCAGGAAAAAAAAAAAAGCTGTTGTTTTTCCTGCCAGGCGTTTCCTTGTTCTGCGCATTTTTGCAAACTCAACGTGACCAGGTCTGTCTGGGGAAAATACCATTTCTCGGTTGGCCAGCAGAGAGCAGTCAGGATTTGTGGACGTCCCGACACTTGGCCAGAGGCCTTCTCCTGCATGCTCGGCCCTGCCACCAGCTGGTGCAGTTAAAAATAATATCACTCTGGCAGCAGATCCATATCTTGCAAAGCTGCAGCTAATGGGTTACACATTGTCCTTGGCTGCCTGAGTCTCCAGTGTCACTGCAAGTCCTTCCTGCCCATTAGGGGCCACCTGCCAGCGTTGTCAAACCAGCTACCAATTTTTGGGGATCCGTTCAACATCCACAATCCCTA